TCACACTCGGCCCAAAAACCAATAGGTGGGTTCCACCGGCGTATGTCAAGTGCACTCGCTCTCTCTCTCTCTCCCCCTCCCTCCCTGCATCCCTCCTCTCCTCCCGCCATCCACCTTCAGGCCTGCAACTCCATCTTTTGTGAGGGTGCCATGTTGCAAGTGGGACTGGATTTTTGCACGGCCGCTATCGGAAGGAATGCCATGCATGCGGAGAGGCAGGATGAGAAGGAACAGTACGGCGAGGTCAAGGACCTGGTCCTGCAGGCAGGTAAAGGGGGATTTCAAGTACCTGGTCCTGCAGGCAGGTAAAGGGGGAGGTCACGTACCTGGTCCTGCAGGCAGGTAAAGGGCGCGATTGCAATCTTGAGAAGCTGGAGAAGGGAGAAGGGGGTTAGACCCCTCCCAATCCGCGCTGCCCATCCCCTTGGGTCCCCTCCCTACATCCTCCTCCCGTTTACTTTAGGACCCTCCTCGTCGTCTTCCTCCTCCACAACCTCCTTAATCGCCGCCGGCAAACTTACCCTGCATGCTTCACCCAACGGCCATGACTCTCCTTCAGCTTCCATTGTCGTCCCTTCCGTCCTGACGGACCAAGTCCCCAGTCTCCCATCCCCTGATCCCGCGTCCTGGGATCGAGAGGAGGAGAAGGTGTCGGAATCCCGGCCAATCAGGGTGAGGATGTAGGAACCAACCAAAAAAAAAAAAAAAAAAAAAAGATGTAGGAACAGACGAAGCTCAAGGGAAAGAAAGCCAAGGCAACAGGGTAAGGAATGCAGGTCGTGTAGGGGGACTCGGGACAAAGTGGGGAAGAAGCGAAGAGATTGCAAGGGAAGAAGAGGGGCTCGGCGCGGAGGGAGGGCAACAGGTAAGGAAAGGAGAGAGCAGGATAATGACGAAGGGCCTGAATCACGAGAGGGATAGAGAGGGATAGGGAAAATGTGGATATGCAGGTGATGGAGAGAGAGCAATATAGAGAGAAAGATCGACGGACAGAGTAAGAAAGGACATACCAGATCCGCAGGGGCTACATCGAGAGTATTAGAAGAGGAGGAGCTCGAAGAGGATCCCTTGGAGACAGACGGGGAAAAAAGAGAGGCGAGAGACACAGGACAAGGGGGGAGAGAGAGAGAGAGAGAGAGAGAGAGAGAGAGAGAGAGAGAGAGAGAGAGAGAGAGAGAGAGAGAGAGAGAGAGAGAGAGAG